ACTAAGAACATTTTATATCAAAATTATATACCACGATACAATTTGAAGGCGCACCATACCTTTACAGCTACAGACGCATCTGTATGCAAACTGTACCCTTTGAAGAATATATCTTTAAAGGGAAAGTATAGAATGAGACCATTTACCTTTGATACAAAGTGGTCACAATAAACATGACCATTGGATGTGAAATTGAGTGGCTGCAATTATTCCATTGACCATGCTCAAACTTCAAAATTTTTTTTTTCTAACATTGTGACACAATCCAAGTTATCATATTTCACATCAAATGGTTGTAAAGAATTGTGACCACCTTGTATCAAAGGTAAATGGTCTCATTGTATATAATCCCATCTTTAAATTAGTGACTCTTAGAAAAACAAAGTACCCGACAAAGTGATGTCATTGTTTGGTCGAGAGTTTTCTTACCTTCAATTAGTTAAGAGTAGTGTTTTAAAACCCGGATCGGAGGGGTGAACCGGCCATCCAAAAATCTAGTTCCCTGGATTGTCATGTTCCATGATGGAAACTGGCGATTCCTATTTGCTTTTCATATAAGAGGCCACAATTTGTTGGATGTGAAATCAAGTGATTGGAAATGTGTCATTGATTTGGTACAAAGTCCAAAATGAAATTCTCGAATGCTTTAATACCTTTCAATATATTAGATTTCACATTCAATGGCTAAAAATAATCATGATCTCCTTGTAACAAAAGTAAATAGTCTCTCTTAATATACAATCCCAAATTAATAAGTGTTGAATACAGACCATATGATATCCCAATCTCATGAGCACGCCATGTAACTCCCAAAATTTATTCATGTTGGTATAAATGGACAAAAGGGAAAAGGAAGCAATAATCAATAAGCCATGTATAAAAATGTTGCCATAAATATTACATTTGGAACCCAAATCACAAGCTACATGTTATGTTCGTGCAATTTGTTCGTAGGTTGATTAGGTTGGGCCTGTTTTGGCCAGGCCCTTTTTTGGCCAATTTTGTTGGGCAAAATATGCAAAGCATTATCATGAGAGTCATAGCCTTCAGAAGTTGTGGCCCTAATTCAAAAGTGAAATGTTTTAGACATAGAATTATCTATGTTGTCAACTCCAAATAGTTGGAAAAAAACTCTGATGATGATGAGATATAATTATCTATTTCAAAAACAAAATTATTAGTTCATAACCAGAAATTTATTTTGATTAAGAGTAGTTTTAACTAAAATTTAAGATCCATAATATGTTAGGAAAAAAAGAGGGCATGAGGGTTCTTTTTCCATGGTCCTATGCAAGTGCCCTTCGTTTGAAAAAACAAATGATTTTGATCGGGAATTGCCGATTAAGATAAGGAATCAATGGAAAATGACCTGGTCCCCTATCAGAACAAAAAATCGGCCCAATTCCCTAGGAATCTTCGGTTTTCATCATGGAACAGGACAATCCAAGGAACTAAATTTTTGGATGGATGGCCAGTTCACCCAACTGATTCGGGTTTTAAAACACTATTCTCAATTGAAGGTCCGAAAACTCTCGACCAAATAGGACATGACTTTTGTTTCTTACTTTGTTTTTCTACGAATCACTAATTTAAATTTAAAGATAGATGTTTTTTTGAAGGGAAATGTTTCTACGTGACCCTAACAACATACAAATTACATGCAACCCTACTTCTTAGCCGTTCGATCTGAATCAAACGGCTATCATTGTTCATACCATAATGTCACGGCTACGATTGTTCATACCATAATGTCACGTCAAACACTATTTTATTTTTCATTTTTTTCTACTCAACATTTTTTTTATGAAATTTTGGTTGTTCCATCAGAAAAATAGAGTGAACATGGAAAAAATAAAATAAAAATATTTTATATTAAAAATAAATGACAAAATGCCTCTGTAATTTTCAAGGGTATTCTGGTATTTTTTTTATCACCAGAAATATTTTTTTAATATTTTTTTCATGTGCACCTTTGTTAGATCTACGCATGCTCCAAAATTTGCTTCAAAATTATTTGTAGAATAAAAATAAAAAATATAACACTATGAGCCATCTGATCATATCTGATGGTTAAATGCTAGCTTGTGACATTGTGACTCAAGCCATCACAACCAGCTATTCAAATCTAATGGCTGAGGCCAGTGTGGTATATATTATATATGTGGGTGATCTAATGGTTGAAGCCATAATGATATATATTATATATGTGGGTGGGGTCACATAGAAAGTCCTCCCTTTCTTGAAAGTAATTTTCATTAAAATCCGGGGATTGCATGAATAGCAAGAAGTTGAGTTTCCTATATTTTGGTAGCACCCCTCGAGCCGTCTGATGCCGAGAACTGTCGGTCGATGTGTTTATTTTCTCTGCTCAAATTCCATTAAAAAAATTTGTAAAATTTCAAACAGAGGAACGACTCCGCTCCCCACTGTCCCTTGTCGACATTGGACGATTGGGGCGATGTTAGCACACTGTAAGAAATCCAAGTGCTAGCATGAACGGTTTTCCCTTAAAAATGACAATAGTTCACAAAAAGAGAAAGTCCACGACACGTAACCTGTTTACTGTATAAGGTCCGCACTATGGTATCAGCTGTTGATTCTTAACAACTTTCATGGAGATTAATCATACCCACGTGACACATAACAATGAGAAGATAGTATAATCTCCATCATCCGTTGTCGAGAATCGACGATGGATACCCGAGCTCTGAACCATACACATACATGGGCTGTGTCTTGTAGCAAATAATTGAGGGAGGAGAGCTAGAACAGGCCATGAACAAAGCTTAGAATCCTCTTTTGCCTCTTGTTGCAGGCATCCAATGTGGATTCACCATTGCTGCCCCTTATCAGAACAGCCCTCAAAGCTTCCTGAATTGTGGTAACACTAACCCTCTCTCTAGCCATGAATATGAAGTCATTTCTCACTCTACCACCTAAGGTGGAGATGTTGGCCTTGACAGTCCTTAGCCTTAAGCTCTGGAGTGCTCGGATTAGATCGGCCACGAGTTGGGGTCGATCTTCGCAGCAAAAAGAGGCCTTGATGAGAGGGAAAGCACTGTTGGGGGATCCTGAATTGCACAATTCGACTCTCAATTCGTCGGTGTCAGTTGGGCAAGAGAGGTCCTTGCTGATTTCTGATGCCTTCCTCTTCAGCTCCTTCAGGCTGTCGACCACTTCTCTGAGCAGCGAGGCCTTGTCCATCTGCAATTGCACTGAAAGCTCAATTCCAGTTGTCTCTGAATATTGGTTCCTTCCTTTGTGTTTCTCTTTTTACAATTTTGGGTTCCTAACCGATCTCTCTTTAAATGATTTGATTCTGAACATTTTTTTATCAAATCGAGTTTTTCATATAATGTGAAGACCAAAATTGAGTTTACAGATGATGTGCTTTCTTTGATGCAAATCAGTGGTATATTTAAATCAATGAAATGTCTCAATCTTTCTAAAGAAATATTAAACAAAAATCTCTATTCTTAATGCTGAAATATGAGGAAAGCAGATGTATGAGAGAGAGAGAGAGAGAGAGAGAGAGAGAGAGAGAGTACCTTGCTGGTGCATGGGAGGAGCTGCCGGAGAGTGGAGAGGTGCCCATTGATTCTCTCTCTGCGTCTCCTTTCCGCCTCGCTGTGGCTCTTCTGTGAGGCTACCGCTTGAGCATCATCGGAAGGGGTTTTCGTCCCAAGTGCCCGTGGAGATGGAACAGGCCCTCTCTGCAACGATGGAGAGATAAAAGCAGGTGAGTGAGAGCCATCTGCCTGTTGATGCATTTCTCTCTGTGTTTGAATCCTTGGTCCTCTGTATTAAAGCTCTCAAACCAGGTAATAATGGCAGAAATGACCCTGTTGAGGATAATTGTAGAGGACACAGAGAGCAAATGAATGAAAAGGTTGCTTGGGTCTCTTTCTCTTCAGCTGCTAAATAGTTGTGTGCAACAGCAATTCACTGCTCTGTAAAAAGTAAATCTCTCTCTCTCTATCTCTCATAACTTTTTGAGATGGGAAACGAGTGGAAGGAGAAATCTGAATTGGCTGATCCTGTCTGAGGTTTCCCTGAATGGACGCTGAGGTTTTAGGGAACAATGGATTTGCAAAGAGAACAGTTTGGTTTGGCCCACCCACAGAGAGAGAGAGAGAGAGAGAGAGAGAGAGAGAGAGTAGTTACTTAGTAGTTGTCGTGTAGAGAGAGAGTAGAGAGAGAGTAGAGAGAGAGAGAGACGTACGTTACGTTACGTACGTGTCGTAGTAGAGAGAGTAAGTT